CGATGAGCGGGCATTTGGCGCGGGCGAATAGAGGGGGCGGGGGGCGCAAAAAAAAGGACCCTATAGCTACTGTACCATATGGCTATAAGAGTGTCCTAGTTTGAAGGGTTGGGGCCATTAACATCCCCTACAGAATTAGGTAGGGACCCCCATAAACCCCTGAGAATACAACGCTAAACCCTTTAAACCCTCGACCCCTTCAAGAGCATCGAGCATTGGGCCTCGTCCAGGTGTATCCTCGTGCTGGCTGGGTCGTGGCGGAGGCTAACAAGGCCCAGGGCTGCATAGTTTCTCAACAAGATCCACACGAGGGAAACTGTAGTATATTTGGGCTATATTCAGATTATGGAAAAGAAAATGGAAACTACTATAGTCTATTTTGAGGGAGCCCATTTTTTTTCCCCCACAGAGCAGAAGCCGTCCTGCATGCTTCTCGCAGGTAAAATGATGGCCAGAAACCCGGAACAATAGTGTTCAAGACTATTATTCTACAGATTTAAGGGGCCCAGGTAGACCTGAATTTAACTCACTGCCTGACAATCATGGGAACCTCCCAGGCTTTGGCTGGCAAATGCGGATCCAAGCAAGACGGCGACTGCGTTGACCCCAGATCCATGTGTGTCACGGGGCTAAGGTTCGGTGGGCAAAAGAGTACATAAAGAGGACCCGGTTAGGAGTTCAAGGCCCTAAACCCAAACCCTAAACCCTAAATCGGTTGAATAAGGTTAAGCGGATCTGGGGGCGAGGGTTGAGCTAGGGGTTGGGAAGTTTGGGGGGGGGACACTTTACAGGCAGAGTACAAAGCTTCCTCACAAGGCAAACTGCAGCTGGGTAAGCCTTTGAGAACAGGACTTTTCAAGAATGGGCGGCCTTTGGAGTGGAGTTTAGGGTTTAGTGTTTAGGGTCTAGGGTTTAGGGTTGGTGCCCTTGGTTTTTTGAAGCCCCCCCCCCACCCCCCACATGTTCCGCTCGCGCAGGCTCGGGGTGGTTCTACAGGTTTTTGCAAGGAACGACCACTGAGAGAACACTTCCTTTAAGGGGACCCTAACCCAAAGGGAAACTACCTTATGGCAACTTTGTGAACACCACGTTTAATCAAGGCTTGAACTAACATGAATATTAAAGCCCCACCCCCCCAACATTATGTATTCCCAGCATATTCCCATATGTATATATATATATACGGATAATACGGATACCACAATGGTAATATTTGATATTAGAGGGAGTTGATTAGGACTTGTCAAAACCTGCCCCAGTACCTGCATTCGCCTCTTCTGAGCAAGCCCTGAGCCTCAGCACACGAAAAGCATGTATCCATGCATTTGCATACGGAACGCTCGCAACATAGCGATAGAAACACCACTACCAAGAATATATCCATCCAAATCCCCGAGATCTTCATTCCTGCCCCCCTTCAACTTCAACCCTCAGACCTAAACTTGATCCGAAAACCTACAGAAGCCGTATATACCACAAGTAGGTGTTCCATTATGTGCCCCCAGATAGTACGATCCTTAACACGAGGACCCCCCGAAAAAGCGCCCAAATTCCTTTAACAAATCCAACTACATGTACATGAGCCAACATTAATATCATAATGCCTGACCCCTAAAGCAAAGACCGACAGGTGCTCGCTGGGTCCTGGTGTTGCCTCCATGGTGCCAGGCCGTGCCGTGAGGTTGCATCGGTAGGCTTGCGGTTGTGAGTTGTAGGGGGTTTAGGATTTGGGGGTCTAGGGCTTTGAGATTTGGAGGTTCAGGTTGGTCCACCCTGCCTCCGGGCTAAGGTTTGGGACCCTCTCTCTCTCTCGCTCTCTCTGTCTCTCTTTTTCTCTCTCACTCTCTCTCTCTCTGTCTGTCTCAGCTGTGTCGCGATATTCCGTTGTGCAGAACCCTCAACCAGTGGGTGCCAAGCTGGGGATTCAGAGGGATTGGTAGGTATATAACCCCTTATCAGCCACATAATAATCTCCTTATCCCCATTCTTAACCCGCTTACGCAGTCTCCATGCCCCTCCAAGTAGGTGGTACATTGGTGGACTGGTCCTGAACATGCAGTGCGCTCGGCCGTCAATCAGAGCTCCAGAAACCAGGGTTCAAATGGTGCGCTTGGAGTACTGCCGCTTCCGCTTCCGGGGAGTTTGGAACAGTGTCTTGGGCTCTACTGTTTGAAGATGAGTATCACAAGCCACGCCTCAAGTACTCTTCGAATCTTGCCTCGGCAGTGGCACTCAGAGCCCAAGGAATCCAGAAAGGTAAAGGGTTGTCGTGCTGTGCCTTCCATCAGAAGAGACTCGCTCAAATGCAGTTTGTGTAGCAGTTACAGTAGGCTCCGGGGCGTTCAGCGGGGACACAGAGCGCAATGTGGTCTTTCTCTGGAAGTTGATTAGTTGTTGCATTCAAGTAACCTCCTTTGTGGGTGTCCTGCGCGTCCTACCCAGGTGGGCCGCAGTGGCAGCCGCTTGGGATCTAGAGTAATCTAGTTGTAGCATTCCTGCCGCAGCAGCTGCGTTCAGAGCTCAGAGGACATTTCTGGAATACGCGGTCGCTACGTCTAGATATGCTGCACGTGGCTTGTGTCAGAAATCCGCATGTGGCTGGCTAGTTTATTGCCCGGATGATATTTGTCTGCGACATGCACGTGTTCATATCTGAAAGCACAGGGTCGGGGCTCGTTAGCATGAACATGCTGTGCGGACAAGGTGTACTGGCGTACTTTCTTCGACTCTGACGCGCTGACCGGTTCCAAGGCGTCAGCGCCAAAGGGCTTAATGACTTACTGACGCTCAAGTGTGGTGAATACACCGATGTACTATAAATACACATAAATACTATTAGGATATGTACGGTTAAGTATAGGGATCCACTCCCATACCCCAAGCATCAGCAAGATGAAGGCAGGCGAGGCTACATTGCAACCGCCTTTTATAGATGCTGCTTGGAAGCAGACGTACATCACTATGTATTTTGAAAACATTGGTTTTGATGATGTCCTTTTTAGTCTTTGGTTCCTGCCTCTCGCCTTCGAGTTAAAGCCGCTCCGTGATGTGCCCAGAAAGAGATCCTTTTCAGGGCTCCATTTGCCTCTATGACCAGAAAACTGACAAGGCGGCTTACATCCCATAAAGCTTTCAAACCCATATAAGAGTTCAGGCGATGGATTGCGCGGGGTACCGGCAGATCTTTCTGTTTTTGACGTCGGACGACTTCTGGCATTGTGACGCTCGCTTTCCGGAGCACTCTAGGGCCTCTAGGGAGGGCATCTTGAACCGTAGGAAATGTTTGGTTCAGGGTTTAAGTGGTTTCATTGTATTCTTTCTTACGTAGCTCTCATCTGGAGACTGTGTATACCTAGCGAGGGCAAGCCCGGCAGGCAGACATCACTCGTCAAGTTGGGCTCTGTCGTGACACACTGGACGCAGGAACAGCGGCAACTGCAATCATAGAAATACCACACGATAAGCAGAGTCAGAATAGCTCCATTCCTTCATTCCCCAATGTGTATTTTGAAAAGAGTGTCCCCCCCATCTTTCTCCACATACATTTCCTCTTTTACAGGAGCACCCAAAACAGGATCTTTCACTGTTTGAACCCCCTATGCTTGCCCTAGCACGGAGGTGCCAGTCATCGAGTTTGATGAGTACGTCCTCGGCTGAGCAGACACACAGGTTTAGGCCTGAATTCCTCGATCCGGATATGGGGGGGTTTCTCAAAAGAAGCTCAAAACAAGATACTTTTTTGCGGGTTCTCTAGAAAATGTAGTAGTTTGGGGTCTATAATATTGGGGTCCCCCTACAGCTGCTCTCATGAACACAGGTGTCGGAAAGCTCTCAAGTCGTTACATGTGCCGAAAGTACCGACTCCTGCGATCCCCCAAACACAGGATCATCATGAGGACCCAGCAAACACGGAACGTACTTGTGACATAACATGTAACCAAAACAGCTGTGCAAGCAAGATCCTCAGTCTGGGCGCCTGCCTGGCGGCATTTCATTGCAAAAAGAAGCAGCCAGAAGTGGACAACGACTCGGCAATCTTTCCGTCAACTGAAAGGTTCCAAAAGGTGAGGGAGTGCAACAGATAAGTCCAAACAAAACAAGTATAGTAACAATAGAAATCATCATAATGATGGAAAGAAAAAACCGGTAATAATCATATTAGTAATACTCATAGTAATAATAAGCATAGTAGTAATTATAGTCATGGTATATTATATTTGTACTGCAAGACCTTGGGTTACCTGCGGTGCCCGGAAGATCTAAGGGGTCCTCACACGCCCCTTTGAGCGAAGCATCCCACGATCAAAGGTCAAGACGGTGGGTGGGCAAACCGTGGACATGGCTGTGTCCTTCGAAACCGACCAGCTGAAGAACCAAAAGGAGCCCTGTGAGTAAAACCCTGTGAGTCCCACTGGTGTAGGTTGAAGTGCTGGTTTCCGACATCCAAACCCGGTGTGTTTCCCATACATCAGAAGACATACCACGTCTAAGGGTGGGTAGAACAGATGTCGGGCATGGGATGTAAGGCCTTCACGTGAAGTGCGTAATACAAGAGAATTACCCATATTATGGTCGTAGTTTCCTGGCATGTCTTTGGTTTTGAATACGTGAAACGAAAAGTCAACATAATGTTGTTGATAATTGAGGCCACCTCTTGCAAGCTTCCATTATGGAGCTGACCGTTTGGCCTTGAAACAGGATTTTTTGTGGCAAAGTTCCAAATCACACAGCAGGTGTTTGGAATGTGTGTTGTTCCTTCACCCGAAGCAACATCGAATAGCATATTCAACCCCATTTGAAGGAAAATATGTGAAAGAACCAGGGTCTTTGTAGAGCCAGTGTGGGGCTTCGATGTTAGTTGCTTGGAAAGTGGGTGCTTCTTCAGCGACAAAGTAGGGAAAGAAGCTGGGGCGAGTCGGTCGGGGCCGGGCCAATGTGTGTGTGTGTACTGTAGAAGCTTTAAAGATTACCGATGTGATTTCCTTCTTGGGGCCGAAGACTCCTTGTGTTGCCAAACACACAAAGTACCTAATTACTTTGCCGATAGCTTTTCTTAAGGACGTTCTAGTAATAGCTGGCGCATCAAGAACATAGCTTCTGACTGTGCATGCTGGAAATTTCAGAAGCGGCTAACAAGTTGTTTGTGAAGATCCCAACTGTAAAGGCATTCTGAACCTAGATGTCACCCAACACCGTCTATGTTCCCGAAAGATCCCCTACAAGTTCCCTAGCTAGCCTCAAGCTACAGAAAATGTAAAATCAAAGGGAAGCAAGAAGGCCAAACAGCAATTTTCAATCTGAACTGGTCTGTGAGGAGCATTTGACCGGCGGGCGTGGCAAGTTCATGGGTTTCTGGGCTTAGTTTCGATGGGGTCTCCAGGAAATTTAGGGGACCCTTTTGGGGAAGTCTCCGCAGGAAAGACCAAATGCCGACATGAGAGGAACCCCTGTTTTTGGAACTCGTGTGTCATGACTTTGGGCTCCAGATCTTGGGGTGTGAGGATTCAGGGAGCTATTGAGGGTTCAGGGTATGGTGGTTCTTAAGTGGGTAAGTTCTGAACTGGTCAAGCGCCTGCATTGTCTTGTGACGTGTAGCTCTTACATGTAATACGGCTACAGCAGAGCAGGCGCTATATGCACATATATATATATATGTATATCTGTGGGTGTATGTTCGGGACGTATCAAAGTCAGTGGCTTTGTAATAGGTTGTATTGCAGAGCCCAGGCTTTGCATCGAGCATCAGCGACTGCAAGAGCAAGTATGTGCGCTGAACTCAGAAGTCTCCAGACGAGCAACCTTCAACTCCTTACTGGGACAGCGTTAGCCCCAAACCCTAAACCCCTAGCCATTTGTTCAACTTTGCCAAAGTAGGGTGACGTCCTGGCCACTGAGGAAAAGGCACAAGCATGTGAGTTGCGATACTGTGGGCAGACGTTTCGATAACGTCATTATGAGGACTATTTCGATAAACACGGTAGTAGCCCTGGATTGTTGCCCCCTCTGTACATGGTAGGTTTTTGTAGAGATCAAAGCATGCCACAAGCAGCAGCAGGTTTGCAGCACATAGTGTTCAGATTAGGTTAGGCCCCCACTCAGTCATAGTGGCACACTGGGAATATGCAAGGACCCTAGTATGATGACCATCGTCCCTTGTAATCAATATTAGTGGGTGGGGGCTAGCCTAACTTTTATCCTCAAACATGTATCAACCCCAGTTTCCATTTCATGTTCTCTTCAACAAACCCATTATAAACTCGTAAATATCTTTACAGAATCCGTATGCACCCCCTGTAGAACCCCCTTATATCCTGTAATTTGCAACACAAAATCCTAAACCCTCAATTCTATAGTTCGGGTACTGCAACCCACCCCGTAATTATTGAATATTGCTAGTATAGCCTGCTACTGGCTGGGGGCAGAAATCAACCTACAATCCCATTTTTTGCAACCACAGTCCCAACGAGGAAGCCGCTCGAGTTCCGCAAGCTACCATCTGGCGAGTTCGGCCTCATGCTGGGGCCGTAGTGCGAAGTTTTTTTGCTAGGTGGGATGTAGGGTTTGGGGTTGTTACCCGCCAATAATGGATAATCAGGTGGAAAAGAAAATGGAACATTAAATGGATGGAAGCTGGGGCTATCAAGAGGTGCATAAGTTTTTGTAGGGGCTAGGTAGCAAAACCCTCAAGTTCTAACCAGCTTAAAGCCTATATTCCCGGTATAGTGGCTACTAGACACCACTACAGACCCACCCCCCCAAAGGGATCAAACCATTAGAACCCCTAGAAGACTAAGGGGAAGTGTATAGGGATTATATAGGGGTTATTATACTTTTTATAGGGGATCTATTTTTTAGATCCTCCCAGGGGTCTGGGGACTTCTTGCGTATCGACAAAAGGCTGTTTGTGCGTAGCTAGTTCAATTGAGTACGCAGACCTTTCCTCGGCTTTCAGTACGCCGGCAGGCTGGTGAGAGGGAAGCTGGCTTTGCTCTATTAGGAACCCACATCTATGACGGAAAGACCACGAAATCCCTGCTCCACTTGTTTGGGGTGTACCTGGACACTGCGGAACCCGCCTTTTTTGAGATTTCGTCCACTTTTTTGAAGGTGTACGTAGTATGTACAGTCCAGGTAGAGGTACGTAGTTTAGGATATCCGCTGAGTCTGAACACGGAGAACCCAAAGCCCTAAAACCCCCAAGCCGTTGGGGCATCGCGTTGCGATAGGCCATAGAGACAGCTGCAAGGTACGCTGGGCACTGTGACGGCGCAATAGCTGCCAAGGACAACCAGCACCTCGCTAAATTACAAGGGAAATATGAGCTATAGTCTGAACTCCTTAAAGCGGTTAGATAGGGGATTATATAGGGGAGTAGTATATGGGTTACTAAGGAGGGTGCTATGAGTTTATGTAGGGACACATAGGGATATGTGGGATATATCGGGATGTGCGTGAGGTTTAGGGTTTAGGGTTTAGGCTTGGGG